GAGGACAGCAGAGCAACTCAGCTGGGTCCCTGACACCTCAACCCTGGGCTACCCCTGTCAGCCTATCTCACTTGCAGGAGAGAAAAACTTTGTCCTGTTTACCGTCCTGTTTAAGCCACTCTTATTTTGGGACACCCACTGCATACAGCTGAACCTAATCCTAATAGACTGAGAGAAATGGTCACCCAAGAGAGGCATGCTGCTAGGTGTTAGAGCTTGTGCATGCCACCAGGAACACCACCTAATGATGCAGAGAAGCAAGGCAGGGGACAGTAGAACAGGGGGCAGCAGGGAAGGACACAGGTCTCACGGGTTCTCAGCTGATGGCTACTGCCTGCAGCAGCAGAGCCTAGGATAGAGTCCCGGCCTTCCTATATGTAGAGGAGTAGACAGGTGTCTGCTGGACACTGTATCTTTATAGGAAACAGCTCTGAAAATACAAAATGTCAGTGTTCATTGATCCTTGAAGTTCTTTGGAAGGTTTGATGAAAGAGAAATGACCTCCAACTACAGCTAACCAGTCTCAAGAAGGTGGAAAAGGATACAGATCTGACAGGAAAGGAGCGGTGTCGACCCGCAAACCAGGCTGAGCTGTGGGGGTGTCCCTGCGGCCCCAGCAGGAGATAAGACAGGCGTTTGGCCGCATAGAGCCAGGAGCCCCTGCCAAAGATGTGATTACGGGCTGGGCCTTTCACCCACGCCCACGGTTTCATCTGGCCCAAGGGAGCCACCATTAAATCAGGAGGGAAGGGGATGGCAGTGCTCTGAGGCTTTTAAAAGAACAGAGTTTCTAGGCTGAAAAACTCTGTCTAGACAAGATCTTTGATGGTTACTCACATGGAACCAATCAGAACCAAGCAGACAAGAGGCCAACTAAAGTTGCAGAGACTTATTTCTCCACAGAAACCATAAGGCTGGCCTATAAAAACCTGGGACTGTTCAGTCCCCAAAACAACCCGCCTCTAAACCCTCCCAGGAAGCGAGTGTAAAAAACTCGTGCTTGCCAACAGCCACCTCAACTGAGGACAGGGAAGCCCTTGCCCAGCACAAAGCCATGACCCAAAAGGACGCTGGATGAGAGACCTCCTCTGGGAGGGTAGAGCCTGGGCTATCAGGGAGTGACCAGGAAACTCACCCATCACCAATTCATGGGGTGCAAGGGGGACCCGATGGTCTTGATTTCTATGATAGCAGCGTGGGACAGGTGTGCTGGGGGCACAGAGCCCATCTGTTTTAACAACCAGATTGCCAGACCTCAACGGGCCACGTCCAGCCCTGACCAAGAAAACTGCGCATCACCCAGAGATGCTGAAGCTCATCAAGAGGAGGGACATGAAGAGGGCGTAAGAGCTGTCCCCCCGGAGGAGGAACATGGAGAGGGCGTAAGAGCTGTCCCCCCGGAGGAGGAACATGGAGAGGGCGTTAAGAGCTGTCCCCCTGGAGGAGGGACGCGGAGAGGGCGTAAGAGCTGTCCCCCCGGAGGAGGGACGCAGAGAGGGCGTAAGAGCTGTCCCCCCGGAGGAGGAACATGGAGAGGGCGTTAAGAGCTGTCCCCCCGGAGGAGGGACGCGGAGAGGGCGTAAGAGCTGTCCCCCTGGAGGAGGGACATGGAGAGGGCGTAAGAGCTGTCCCCCCGGAGGAGGGACGCGGAGCGGGCATAAGAGCTGTCCCCCTGGAGGAGGGACATGGAGAGGGCGTAAGAGCTGTCCCCCACGGAGGAGGGACACGGAGAGGGCGTAAGAGCTGTCCCCCCAGAGGAGGGACACGGAGAGGGCGTAAGAGCTGTCCCCCCGGAGGAGGGACACAGAGAGGGCATAAGAGCTGTCCCCCCAGAGGAGGGACACAGAGAGGGCATAAGAGCTGTCCCCCTGGAGGAAGGGGTGGGAGTTTTCCATGGCGGGGAAGAAGGATGCGCATGGATCCTGAGGACGTCAGCAAACCTGACCTCTCCCTCTTCTCTGAGACTAGAACCCCCAGTTTTCAGCTGGTATAAACCTTGTGACAGCAGGAGTATAGACAGAGGAAAAAAAGTTTCACAAACCTTATAATCAAGACATTTATCTAATTTAAATTTCACTTCTACTCCAGCCCATTGGGAACAAGCCCCTTGACTGCCACAGAAGTGACATATGCCTGCAACGAGAGAGATAGGCATCGGGAGGGCCCGGTCCCTGGATTTGGAAATTCTTCTCAGTCTGTCTAATTGGTCCATGAAGGTGACATAAAGACCACATGTTTTTTATAAATATCCATAAAGAGGCACAATTCTGCATACAGTAGATCCTGCTGCCTGGCATTCTATACACTGGTTTAATACTAGCATCCAACGCTGTTCCAGTAATGACCCCAAAGCACTAAAAGGTAACGTGTGAAACTGGTTGCGACATGCAAAGAGCATAAAAGCAGCATCTGGAAGAGAAAAGCTTCCAATACACACGAGTTATTACTAGAGTCACACAAGAGACAGCGTTTCCATAAGGGCAGCTCATGTGAGATCAAATAGGGTATTAGTTTGGTCTTATTCTTGAATATAACAAGCCATGGGTTTCATTTCTCCATCTCATGGTCCCTTCTGCACTAAGATGACCTCCTCCCTTCTTCCCCAATGCCTTCCTGTAAAAGAAGTTCTGGCCAGGGCAGCACCTGTGGCTCAAAGGAGTAGGGGGCTGGCCCCACATGCTAGAGGTGGCAGGTTCAAACCCAGCCCCAGCCAAAAACTACAAAAAAATAATAAATAAAATAAAAAACAGTTCTGGCCAGGAACTTCCTCTGATGCAGCAGGCTTCTGTGAGTAACTTTACCCCGCAGTGTTGGGAAGGAACACATATGAACGAGGGATGAAGAATGTCTATGATAAGTTAATGCCAGCAACAAACATTCATTCAATATCAGTTCTGTGCCAAGCAGAGGGATTAATGGTTAATAATCAAAGCCACTTCATTCCCTGCACTCGGCAGAGACCAGATAAGAAGAGAAATGAAGAAGATTCCAGAAAGACTAAAATGTTTTTCTCTTATGCAAAAACAGTAACTTTTAATCCTATGAGCGTTTCCTTCTCTGATGTCATCAAGCTCAGCTATACTGCTTCAAGTCCTGTTAAATACTTCTGCAGACCCAAGCTGCTTGAGGCAAAGTATTTTTTTAATAAAAAATTTTAATATCAAAAAAAATTACTGATATTCAAGAGTATTAAATCAGTGTACGTATACAGGTTTTTTCCGGCAGGGGGAAGAGTTGCCCTAAAACACGGGCTCGACAGCACATCACAAAACCCAGCCGCCTGAGGACACAGAGCCTTGCCCGGCTGCTCTCTCCCAGCGCCCACTGACCATGACACCAGCTCCATGACCACACCCCATGTTTCCAGCACAAAATACTCCTAATTATTATCCACAGAAACAACAAAACTGGTCTGGAAGTGCCCATACTTTTCTGTTTGAATTTCACCTACCAAAAGCTTTTGTTAAATAACATCTGGTTTGTTATTTAGAAAACGTAGTTATCACATGTTATCCCTTCAATACAGTAAAGTCTTCACTTGAGTAACAGAGATTCATCACAGGGTTGGTAGCAAGCAAGTTGTGACTGTTCTATCCCCTTCTCTCCTGGGGAGTGGTGGAGGGGAGTAGAGGAAGGAGAGTTAGGGAATACTGGGAAGAAAAAGTACCTATGACAACAAAAATTAACAGAGTAAACGAGAAGTGTCTGTGAACATGGCTCACCATCCCCTTCCCAGCCTGCCCCTGGCTCTAGCAGTTCCCCTACATGACCCTGCCTGTGGTTCCTCCACGCACTCAGACTGCCATTCGGATGACTCTGATGACAGCCAACTAAATGCTGCGGTCATCTCATCATTCTATACCAACATGTTATTAAATTCCAGCAATTATTATTAAGAACAAAGGCCAAAACATTTCCATACACTGAATTATACATCTGTCCACCAAGCAGCTGCATGGGTGAAATGCCTAGAAACTATGAATCCAGTTATTCTGGGATTCTTTCATTCCCTAAATTTTGGTTCCATGTTGAAGGAAGACGATTTCCTTATTTCCTCCCCCTATAATTTGGCTTTTTAAATCTAGAATAGCATTCATGAATACAAACTGGGAAGTCTTTTAAAAGTTTGCCATTTTTAATCTTTAATCAATATCCACAAATCAGAAGGAATGTAAAGGAAATCTGCAATAAGATTTCAAACATCCAAACGGGGTTACAGAGAGCCTAAAAGTATAGTAGAGAGGAATGTACCAAAATAGTTTGTTTTTTTTTTTTTTTTTTTTTTTGAGACAGAGCCTCCAGCTGTCCCCCTGGGTAGAGTGCCATGGCATTACAGCTCACAGCAACCTCCAACTCCTGGGCTCAAGCGAGTCTCCTGCCTCCGCCTCCCAAGTAGCTGGGACCACAGGCGCCCGCCACAACGCCCGGCTATTTTTTGGTTGCAGCCGTCATTGTTGTTTGGCGGGTCCGGGCTGGGGATTCGAACCTGCCACCTTAGGTGTACGTGTCTGTGGCCTTAGCCCGTTGAGCTATAGGCGCCGAGCCCCAAAATAGTTTTTAAAATTCAAAATTCCAACTTATTTCGATTTATAACAACACAGCTTCCATGTCATTCAAATTTGTCGTTCTAATGCCCCTGCAAAACATCCAAAATGCAAAACAGTGCAGGTAACAGCACCAAAGTAGAATGACAACCCGAGCTGTGCCACCTGCTAAATTTTTCTTTTCATGATATTTTTTCTAAGAACATTCGAGGAAGCAAGATGCAAAGCACAAAAAAAATGCCATTCCATAAAACACAAATCTTTGATTCAAGAACTTTAACTTCTCATCCTACATTTTAACTCTTCTAGGACAGGAGATCACCTCTACCATGCTAACTGGTTTGTTCAAATGTGTTACTCTACAATTCCACTCCCTCCCTTGATATTAGAGAGAATACCCTAACAGGATTCCCCCCCACCCCCCGCAGGTGCAGAGGGGGCCTGATCAGAACTCACCCATCCAGCAGACTCATTGTCGTGGGTGTCACCTCAGCAAAGAGAATTATTTTTCCAAATCGCTTGGTCTGAAGATTTTGCCGATATATCTCCAAGTTAAAATTTTCTGATGAGAAGGCCTCCGTGTCAGTAACCACAGGTATAAAAGACGGGGTTATTTCTATCTCAGATGTGCAGGATGAAACAAATTTAAGAGAGAGCTTGCTGGATTTTATTACTCCTTCAGGACCCACATGCTTCCCCAGCCATTGCATAAGAGGATCCCAGATTTCCTGTGTCATAAAGAAAGAAATGAAAAGGTTGTCATTTAGCATTATATTATATTCCTTAAAATGCCATTTTGGTAATATGAGCACATCCTAATTCATGACCAATAAAAGTTAGGTTAACACACCCCATGGACCTAAACTGTCACACAGTATGGTAATGAGCCAACTAAGTACGCTTATGCCATAAAAATAAACTGTTCAGGATCCAAGGAAATAAGTTCATTATCATACTTTCTATCTTACATTATGTCCTAAATTCTCAAGATTCTCTCCCCCCGCTCTAGAGTTAATAACTAATTTTCTAGTCCTCTGTGAACTTTATAGAAAGTTCCTATCTTTATCCTTTTACCCCAGAAAGAAATTCATTATCCTATCTGGGGAAAAAAATCCCACAAAAAATCCCAGGTGAATGAAGGCACAGAACGCAAAGCACCAAGATCCGAGAACATCCCGTCTCAGCCTCAGGTCACAGAAGACCTCCACTCACTCTTCTAAAGACAAGAACCCTGGCTACCAATAAGGGAGAAACAAATTATTTTCATACAGGCAAAATAATGGGGTAGCCCAACCCCACAGCTGCTTTCTATCTGCCCCTACACAGTCACGAGGGGGAGGAAGGCAGAATCTCGAAGAGCTGCAGAGCTCTCTGTGCTACCCCCAAAACCACAAGCCTGGAGGAGGCGGCCCCATCCCAGACCTCAGAGGGCTTCCTCTAGGATGGCTCATCAGAAATGGGGCTCAGAGAACCTGTTGGTGTCAGTAAACAGATCCAGGCTCTTAGGCCATCCTCATGCAAATGCCAGGCCCTTCAAAAGAGAAAACTGGTCCCTCTATTCTAGGGTGACCAGATTTTAACATCGGTAAGGCAGGACAACATGGCGGGGGATGGGGGGGCAGGGCGGGGCAGGGTGGGGGACGGGGCAGGGCAGGGCCTGACAACATGCAAACTTTGATAAGTAGTTCTCGGTAATCACTTCTTAGCAATGATTTATTATTACAGTTTAACATTATAAAATTAACAAAAATAATATAAAACTCATATTCTGGCAAAATAGCCACATGGCAGCTGAAAACCGTATATTCCCTTCTTGTTCTCCCGCCTGTTCATTCATTCTTTCCAAATATCGAGACTTTTTTAAAACGCCATGGGACATGGGACAAATTGTTCAAAAGCAGGACATCTGGTCACCCTACTCTATTCACACCTGGGGTATGTCCCAAAGTTCCCTGCAGGAGCATCTTTGAAGCAGTTTCAAAGAGAAAATTTAATTCAACTAAATTCAATTGATTAACCTTGAAAACTCACTTCCAGTTTGCAGAGAATGCAAAGGAGAAAAGAACAAGTTAAGTGACTTCAGAAGGAAGTAATCAAAAGAAATCCATTATGCAGGACAGTTGGGCTGGAATCATCAACAAGTCAGTGCCATGGAGGGTGTGGGGTGCAGCAGTGGGGAAGGGGACCTGGTCCAGATTGGAAGGGACATAAAACTGTAATAAAATGCAGCCAGTGATTTGTTTTTATTGGATTCTGATTTGAATAAATTAGCAGGAAAGGACAATCAGGAAACCTGGAAAGGATGACCAGGAAATCTGAATGCTGACAGGGCAGATAACAAAAAGGAATTATTTTCAGGTTTGTTTGTTTGTTTTGAGATTGAGCCTCAAGTTGTTGCCCTGGGTAGAGTACCGTGGCGTCACTGCTCACAGCAACCTCCAACTCCTGGGCTCAAGCAATTCTCTTGCCTCAGCCTCCCAAGTAGCTGGGACCACAGGCACCCACCACAACACCCGGCTATTTTTTGGTTGCAGCCATCATTGTTGTTTGGCAGGCCCAGGCTGGATCAAACCTGCCAGTTCAAGTGTACATGTGGCTGGCGCTTTAGCCACTTGAGCCACAGGCGCCGAGCCTATTTTCAGTTTTAATAGGTGTGATAAGGATACTGTGGTGATAAAGAAAAATATCCTTAATTTTTAGAAACGTATATGTGTCATGACATCGGTAACTTACTCCCAAAATATATAAAGCAAATAAGGCAAAATGTTAATAATTGTTAAATAGATGTGATGGTTATTGGGGGTACTTGTTACACTTCTCCATTCTTTTCCATGTTTGAGAACTACTGTAACTAAAAAACACAAAAGTGGTGAAATGAGCATAGCTATTATAAAAATAACTTAAACTAAAATACATTAGCGACCTATTCTTTCAGGCACCCATTCAATAAATACTACTGCATGTCTCCCTATACAGGCATTGTTGTAGGCTCTGAGGACTGAGCAGTGAAGAAGGGGCCAGAACTCCTGCCTTCAAAGGGTTTATACCCTAGTGTGGGAGTTGGAAAATGAAAAAAAAAAAGAAAAGCACAATATATAGAATGTTAGTAATACACGTGAAGGAAGGATAATGCAGCAGAGACGAGAGTTGAGAAGTATTGGAGCAAGCCACTTCAGATCAGACAGAAAGGCCCTACGGAGAAGGTGACATTTAAAAAAAGACCTGAAAGAAGTGAGGGAGGGCACTGTAATATGAATGTAATTACGTCATTTATATTTATCTATATGAAGGATTCGCAGGAAGAGCAAGTACAGAGGCTCAAAGAGGGAAAGACTGTGATCAGGGCACAACAAGAAAAGCAGCGAGCAAGGGGAGGATGAGAGAACTGAGGCCAGAGAGGTGGACGGGGAAGCCGGGTCCACCACTGGGGAGGCCTCCAAGGCCACAGTGAGGGCTGGGCTGTCACTCGAGGAGGAACAGGGAACCCCAGTGGGCTTTGAGGAAGAGCATGGGATAACTGTCATCACAGCCAGGTCACCCCACTCTGACTGTGCTGAGAGTGGCCTGAAAGGGAGCGAATGAGTGAAAACTGAGAAAAAAGTCATGTAAGTTATAAAGTCAAGTAAGTGACCCAGGAGTGAGACCACTGCCTGTGCCAGCATGCAGGGGACATGGCGAGAAGAGACAGGATTCTCATTACACTCTGAAATAGAGGCTACAGGATTTGCTAATAAGGGATATTTAGGATGTTAGAAAAGGGGGACTCAAAAATGAGCCCAAGAGTTCCAGCTATACTCCTGGAAGGTCAGCATTACCACTGCAAATCCCATGAGAAGAGCAGGTTTGGCGAGGAAGGGGCCGGTGATCAGCTCTGGGCACTAAGTTTGAGAGACCTGTTAGAAATCCCCTACTGCAACATAAAGGTCTCAAAAAAAAAAATTAATTAACTTGTGGGTGGCGCCTGTGGCTCAAAGGAGTAGGGCGCCAGACCCATATACATGAGATAGCGGGTTCAAATCCGGCCCCGGCCAAAAACTGCAAAAAAAAAAAAAAATTAATTAACTTGTCAGATTATAGATGACAATGTGAAGCTAGGAGAGCAGATGAGGAGATCCGTGAGACAGTGACTGTAGATAAAAAGAGAAGAACACCAGGGGGTTTATTCATTCCCTAGGGTTCTCACAAAGTCTCACAAATTGGGTGGGTGAAACCACCTAAATTTATTCTTTCACACTTCGGGAGGCCAAAGTCAGAAATCGAGGTGTGAGCAGGGCCCGCTTCCTCGGAAGGCCCAGGCCTCCAAGCCCCTGGTATTGCCGGCACTCCCTGGCACCCCAGGGCTCAGGGACACACTGCCCCATCTCTACTGCCATGGTCACAAGGCATTCTCCTCTCTGTGTCCCTGCCTGTGTCTCTTCCCATCTTCTAATGACACCAGTCACAGTGGCCTAGGAACTCACCCTAATGACCTCCTCTAAACTTGATAACACGTGCAAAGCGAAATCTCCCAATAAGATCCTATTCACAGGTTCTGAGGGATCAGAGTTTCGACATTACCTTTTCAGGGGGCACAATGCAACCACCAACAGAGGGTCAGAGCTTAGGTACCAGGGAGACTGGGAGCATGTGCAAAGGAGGCCAGAGGGCAAGAGAAAGTTAGGTGCACGTGAGGTTGGGCAGGTGCCGTGGGAGTGCTGTGAGTACACCTTGAAGGCAGGAAGACGACGACTGGACTGGGCAGCAGAAACCTCTTTCTGCCAAGTAGCTTATTGGACCGAGAGGCAGCTGGTCTGGATTGTGATGAAGGCAGTTTCATGACAACATGTGATGAGAATGGCTAAAGGAACACCCACTCCAAGGACAAAGCTCTGGCCATGCTTCCTCTACAGGGAAAGGAGGGAATGGGTCAGTGGTTAGAGGAAGGGACGGAGTTCAAACAGGTCTCATTTCCTTTAAGGGGGAGAGCAGCACACTGACATGAATGGTCCCACAGAGAGAAAACTCCGTGTCAGGGGAGGGTGGGCACCTAGGGCATGAGCAGAAAGACAGGCCTCAGAAGCAGAGTTGGTTCATCCACAAGGATGAATGTAGGTCGCATCCCCCGGGGGACATCCAGGCTTGTGACTCCACCGGATTCCCACCCTCCCTTGTCTCTGCTGGCCACACAGCCACACAGGACAGCCCTGGTAATTGACCTTTGAAGCTACTGCCCTGCTCCAAGGCCGCAGGGAGTTGGGAGTCCCCATGCCGAGAGCTGATGGAAGTTGTCTGCTGATACTTCTAGTTTCTCAAAAAATAGTGAGCAAGATCATTGGCTAAGAGACAAGAGGAAGAAGGGGTGGGAAGTTTGAGGAGGGAGGACCAGAGTGAGAACATAAATGCAGAGGGGAAAACAGTGTGAGCAGCTGGAAGTGTCTGGGGTCCCCTGAAGGTCAGCAAGTCTGAACTGGGCGTGAGCAGTCTGCACGATGCTGTGTTTTGATCCACCCACAGTCAGCAAGACACAGAGAAGGCAGTGAGCAGAGGGCGTACACAACCCACTGGCTTGGACCTCTGGCTGCAACAGAGGCCCTGCTGGAAATGGATGGTAAATGCAGAGGGTCCCTCATGGCCTTCACAGTGAGAGCAGCCCCCCAGGACTACACAGGCTCAGGCAGCAGCAAAGAAAGGTACACAGCCCCTGAAGAGCACAGCAAAGTAACAGGGGATCCTGCTTGAACAGAAAGCA